CAGATGATTTTTACGGCAATGTGCCAATCAAGTAGACTTTCCTGCTTATGTTTGTGTAACAGATGAGGCGACATTTACCCGCGATGAAGTGAATTTCAATAATATGCACATATGGGCCGATGAAAATCCTCACGCGATTAGGGAAACTCATTTTGAATATCGGGTCTCGGTAAATGTTTGGGCTGGCATAATAGGCGATGTACTTGTGGGTCCCTATTTCTTTGAAGGACGGCTAAATTGACTAACATATGCTGACTTTTTGGAGAACCGTTAGCCTGAATTACTGGACGATGTGGCATTACAAGTTCGGGCACGCATGTTTTATCTTCAAGATTGGGCTCCTCCACACAGTACTCGAGAAGTAACGATACTTTTGAATGAAATATTTCCTCAGCGATGGATTGGACGCTTTGGTCCTGTGTCGTGGCCACCTCGGTCGCCCGGTCTAACCCCAATAGATTTTTATCTTTGGAGTCACTTGAAGTCATTGGTTTACGATACTCCAATTGCTACGGTGCGGTGGAAGAATTGCGAAACCGTATATTTGAAGCTGCTGACACAATTAGGGGGATACCTCTGGAATTTGGGAAAATATTCGCCAAAATTGGGTGCGTCGGTGCCATGCTTGTATCGGAGCAAATTAGGATCAATTTCAACATTTTCTCTAGAAATGGTAAGTTTTATTTCATTTTGTTCCATATTTTAATGTTAGTGCACGCAATGGGCAACTGCAGATGCTTACGCTTGCGAACTCTTGCAGTAACAACAATGCATTTATGACAGTAATTACTATTAATTATTATAATAAGAAAATATCAGTTTTTTTTAAATATCTATTTTTCTTAGTTTGTACTTTTGCATTGAAAAATTCCCCAAAAATTGACGATGATTTGTTTACGCGGCTGGTGTGCAGCACGTAACTCATCGTACAGCACACGGACAGGGCCGTTCCAGAGAAAATATTTTGATCCATAATTGAACATTAATTTACGAAAAAAAAACCGCAAAAATAGAACTTTTTCGTATTCGTTTTTTATTACAAATATCGTTAGGAAGCTGTAGTTTAATTTTTATAGATTATACACGCCTCACCCTGTATAACACGGTTGTATTTAATAATAACTCTTGAGATACTTTGATTACATAATTATAAAGGAATTAAATTTTGTTTATATCAAAATTGAGATAGTTTTATTACTTGCCGATACTGGCAATTATAATGACTCAAAACTTTATCTCATTTTTTCAAATAATTTGGCATCGCTGCATCGAATACAAAAAACAAGCACATCGCTGAAAAGATAATTTTCTGTAGAATACAAATTTGTAAAAATATACAGAGTGTTCCATTTAAGTAAAACCACCTTAAAGATGCTCCGCCCCAATTTTAAAATGTGAAATTTTTTAATTACATCACTCCTATTAAATATTTCTTTTCAAATCTTTATAATAAGGGAGATATTGAACTTTGTCACACTATTGGGCCACCCTGTATGTTACTGAATTCAGAATATAAACCAAACAAGGTTCTCCGTAATGAACTGGTCTTAAAAAATGAATACTCCAATGTAGACGTAATTAAGGTTAAGGCTTTATAATAGCTATAGTAATAAAATTGTAATGAGAAAAATAAATGAAACGAAAATACAAAAGTTGATTTTAATACGTGTATCAGTGATATGAATTAATAAAAAAATAAATTGAATAGCGCCAGACTTTAACCTTGTTACAAAATTCAAAAGTACACACATTAATTAATAAGTGCGTTACAAGAAAAAAAACAAATATAGCCGTGCATCCTTAGTCGAAACGAAGTATACATATATTCCTTATTCGAAACGAAGTATAGGTATAAAGAGAAGGATGGCAGCAGCGGCAAACTCAGACGCGTGATGTGGAAGTGCCCGTAGAAGAAACTAAGCTGCGCAGAACCACCGCGCAGGTTAAGACGGACAGAGAGGTAGCGACGAGCTACGCTAGAGAATAGAGATGCCATCGAAATTCTTTTCCTCTTTACCTCCGCCTGATGCAGACGTGTGTCTCCGTTCAGTCTGAAGTGGCAAATTGTTTTGCAAATAAAAAAAATGGTTTCGTGGTCGATTGTGTTGTGTTAATTCTTAAGCATTAACGACGATGGGATTGAAGCGTGGTATGAAACAACGTGGCGGCAAGAGGCCGGCAGTACGCGAACCCCAGCCGTTGCCGGTAGTGACGCCCGCCCAGCGGATATTGCAGCGGCAGTGGTTGCAACCGGCGGTTACAGAGGTGCCACCAACCGTGCGTCTCCCCCAGGGTATGGAAGTCGCTCTGGTGACAGTGGGCAAAAGGCCGAAAACCACTACGACGAACCCCATGAGCAGCAATCACGACGAGAACGAGGTCGACCATCGAAGTTAAGTCCAAGGAGTGGAAAATTCCCAGGGGAAGGCACGCCCAGTTATTAAATTAATAGTTGTCATTATTATTACTGGTTTTATTCGTTTATCATAAGTATATAGTATATTTTAGTAAGGCATCTTTGACTATATATTTTGACGTATAAAATAAAATAAATAAATAAATAGTTTGCTTTTTATGTATCCCCATTAGCGTCGGCTACGAAAGGCAAAGTCAAAGCCTACATAGATTAGATTAGTAGTAGTCGAAAACCCTCGTCGTCAACATTAAAGTGGTAATATCTCGAAAGCGAAGCGCTTTTTCGATATTAAACAATATACCTACCTTTTTCCTTTAAAAATAATAATGTATTCAAAATCTAAAGAGGGCTTTGCATAAAAATGTTGCGATGAAAGATAACTATGCAACAGTGCATAACTAGCGCTCTTTAAAAGATATTTAAAAATTAAGTATATATATATATTCCGACTCCTTATAAAAAATTAATTTTTAAAATTTAATATAAAACTTTACATCGCAAACCAGCAACATTTTACTAAGGCAAGTTTCATTAAATTCTATATTTTAGATGTCTACAATCTGCAGTTAGTATATAGCCCAGTCATTACAGACTACCCTGTATATAAAATCGAGCAAAGATACTACGTATATTATTATATTTATACTCTTGACATTGATTCGATATACAAAGTTAGAGAAATTGGGACTAAATTCTAATAACAATTGTAAAAAGAAAAACGGAATGATGATATCGAATTTAAATCAAATGGTTCAGATATAGGAATTTTTTAATATTTCAATAAAAAAAAATGCTAATTTTATTTCAATTTGAAGTAAACATCTAATTGCAGTACAAAAGCATTTGAACTGGAATCTGAGGACTCTATAGGCAACCAGGAATACATTTTTATAGATTTTATTACACAGTTTGTCTAAATATGAATCAATGCACAGACTTTCCCCCATTTTGACGCAGATTTGTTATAAAATGGACTAAAATTTGTAATTTATGATGCCACGTATTCAAAAGCGGCAAATTACAAATTGCTTTACAACAAAAAGTGATTTGAGTTTCAAACTAAGTCCATTTTTATAGAAAATCTGCGTTAAAATGGAGGAAAGTCTGTTGTTTTTGCGTTAATTTATATTTAGACAAACTGTGTAATAAAATCTATAAAAATATATTGCTGGATACCTATTCCTCTGAAAAATACAGTACGATACAATTATTTTGAACTTATTTATAGGACAGAAATTCGATAATTATTTAATAGTAGGTATTATTATTGTTTAATGATTTCAATAAGATTTCAATAATTTTCTATTGAAATTTAATAGAAATTCAATATAATTAATCGAAATTCAATAAAATTCAAATAAAATAACGCTAGAAGTAAATTCGTGACAGATTAGGAAAGTTGAAGCAATTTAATTTAAAAAACAAGATACAATACTTCTGGTTTTGTGCCTTATTGATTTACTCGTATTTACGTTTCAATATGATTCATTTCTATGGCTTTACGCTTCAGTCTTATTAAATATTATGTAACGGTCTTACATTGTTTAGGCGGTTTTTGTACCACCTTGTGTTAATAGAATGTTCTTAAGATGACCGCTGAAAAGATTTCAAAGCAATTACCCCTGTCGTATGTCGTTAATTATACCACACATTTCCTTATGATAAAATGCACGCTATATAAAGAGCTTAATATATGAACATCACCGTCAGAGTGATAATGGGCTGAGGAACAGATAGCTCGTTCTCTTCTTTTTGCCCGATTATGTAAATGACTACTCTGTCGTGTTTATGCACGTCAACTTATATAACCGTCTTGAGGCGGTCGGCGGTTCATACAGTTTTTGCATATAAATAATCCTTAATTGTTGCTTAATGATATGCAGCGATGATGAATATAATTGAAAGTACCATGGAATTTTTCTATTAGTCATGTAGTGTCCCTTTCATAAATAGGTGTTGTGGTAGTTTAAGCTACAAAATACAGAACACTAAAAATTGCACTGTTACAAATATGTCAAATGGAATACCTAAGAAAATTATGTTACCTTTAATTTGCACTTTTTCTGCCACCTAATTTGGTCTTTTCATAGCCAAAATAATTAGAGGACCAAATTGTTATCTTTCAGGGTTAAAATCTAGCCTATATGTGAAACACTATCATTATCTAACTTTTGTAAATACTTCCTTATATGATCATGTTTAGGGAAAAGTAAACTGATAGGGTAGAGGAACGCACAAGGGAATGCCCTTGTGAACGGAACTGAAAGCCCGGCAAGCAACGGCATGATTCAATTGATGAAACAACCATAGCCATGTGGCTTTTATTATTATTAATGTTTTGATAGGAAACTAGTGAACAGGTTGTTAGGGCCGACAGTTCCTATTTTAAAACTTGTTTAACAGTATCCCCGACAAATATTTAAAAAAATTCATTAGCATGCTTTAATCTTTCAATTGCATGATGTAAGCAGTGAATAAAAGAACAATTTGGTAAAATTCATATCCTTCATAAAATATATTATAGACAAAAGTGATTATTAATCTTTTTTATATCGTGTTGTTCTAATTCTTCAATCCTTTCCAGTATCCTGTGCTCAGGATCTACCTCAGAGAAGACCGGTAAAGAGGAGCTACGTCTGTCCGCCTAAGTTTGTGAGGCAAGGCCACAGATGTTACTTCTTCAGCAAAGAGCCTGCCACGTGGCAAGAGGCTCATTTCCACTGCCGTGATATGCACAGCAATATTGCTGTCATCAAGAGTTCTAACCAGGACAAGCTGATCAGGAATTTCCTCAGCAAGAAACCATTGGGTGAGTTTTAAATCGGAAATTTCGTCTTCTCATTTTCCATATATTCAATTGTTATTATAACATATGATCTTTTGATGTATCTGAAAGTCAAGTGATACAAAGATAATAAAAAATTCAAATTAACGTGCTGTCACTTTTGTATATCTTTCGATAATATGATTAACAATTATTACAACAAAAGAAACTAATATTAACATAACTGTAAATAAATTATATCTTATACCTATTATATTGTCCATTTGTTGGAGATCTCATAAAAAAGATTGCTGGAATTGTTACCTTACTCTTTATTCATACAGAAATATATTCAGAGATACAAATCAGAAAGTTATTACTATTCTGCTCGTGTTTGCATTCTTGTCAGCTGTTTTTGCTAGTTTTATTTGAACACAACACGTCTGTAATATTTTTTTCTCAGGACTTCAAAAAAAAGTTGTAATTACTCTTCGCTTTCTCTAGACTTTTTTTCACAGTTAAACCCGGGCTAAATATTGATTGAGTATGCTTCTCGCAGTTCCTTGGCCACGTTTTTGTTTTTCAATTGAAGCGAATCAAGATCGTGAGTCATTTAAAATTAGAATCTGCTAAATATTACAATGGAATCTGTAGTTATCATCGAAGTTCAATGTCGCAAATAAAGGTCGTTGCCTGAAATGGAATTTTAAATTGGAGATTTTTTTTACGTCAATTGTTTTGTTCAATGAAAGATTTTGCCTCCACATACATATAACAGTTTTGGAAATTGAGTGCAGCCAACTACTACTATTATTTATAAAAAAATTTAAATATTTTCCATATTATTCGAAAAATTAGCTATTTTCAATTTATGATTTTTTTAAATTTAGAATAAACAGTGGAAATAGACTAAAATACTTCAAAATTTAACATGCAAAAAATATAGGTATAGTATCTTTTTGTTTTAGATACTGAATCAAAAACCAATGGACAACCTCTTAAAGGTACAATATAGACTTAAAAAAAATACTTGCTTAATACATATTTTATGAAAAATTGAACTAGATGATTGACTTAAACCAAAAACAGTAGGAAACTATTAAAATTGTTAACATTCGCTCTGTAACAAATAATCACATGGAAGCAAGAATAAAAAATGCATTACTAGAGAAATAAGACGTTTATAATAAAATCATAAATTCTTTAGCTCAACTGGAGAGATGGCTTGGTGGCGTTTACGACTGGGAGCAAATGGCATGGAAATGGGCAGCATCAGGAAAGCCCTTGACTTATAACGGTTTTCAAAGAACAGAAAAAGAAGATAAGGAAAAATTACGGTGGCATTGTATCATAATGGACCCATCTTTGCAGTATAGGTGAGTTGCTAAAGCCACTTTTTGAAATATTGTATTTTTATTGACACCATTTATTCAGAAATTCGAACAAACTTTTGAATTAATATGTAGGTATATAACTTATAGGGTCTTAAATAATATATCTCATAACGACGCTTCAGCCTACACATAAGCCTTTGAACATTTTTTTTCTTGAAAAACTAAACATAAATTGGCACGTATATATATTCTAATAAAATTCGCACACATCAATTAAAATTAACAAATGTTAAATTGTCATCATGTTGTTTATTTGGATATCTCCATTTACGAATGACTAGAAAGCTCATTAATGGGCGCCAAGATTATCTTGTATCTAAAAATAGGCATAATCAAAATGTATTATTCATAATTAAAAATTTTATAATAATTTTTCAGATCCATTATGTTTGTTTGTTTTATAACTAGTACCACCAATTAAGGAAACCTGATAGAGTTGTACCATTATATCGTTTCCATAAAATTGAAAATAGATCCGTGAAAACAAAAAGTGGTTTGAAATGCATTCATACAATTGAATTTTCATAATTTGATAGCTGACTTTTCTAAAACTTGATATATTGCGTAGTGTTGCAACAAATATGATTTTTATTATTCTCGAGTTTAAACATCAAACTTATGGGAAAACAACTTTCATTATTGTCATAATGGCTGATTTTTCGACCGCCTACTAAATTTGTCTATTATTTCCGTATTTTTCTGATAAAAGTATTTCAGTTAATAATTAATATATTTATTGGCAGTTGAAAACAACCAAAAATTTCTAATCATTTATTTTTAACTGGTCACTTATAATTGAAATACTATGAAATGTGATGCAATAGTAGCTTTTGTTTTATTTCATATTGTTTTACTTTGTTAAAAATAACAAATCGTTTGGAACATAAAACTATATGTCAGTTCATATTTTATGTAATCATACGTAAATTCCATAGTAGTATTATACTGTTATACTATTACCATTGTTTAAACCCACACATCTTGAATGTTGTAGGTTCTACTTGATCTAACACAACTTCAACAATATTATGCTTATGCATTTTGTTTTCAAAACAATATGCAATAATGTGTGGGAAGAACTTTCATAGGATTAGTGATAAAGATTTATCGTGAAACTGTTTGCCATGCCAAAAATTTCACACTGAAAGACCGAAATTTTTATCGTTTTCGATGAATAAACAATATACCATTTCTTTTTGTTACTCACATTGAATTATCTACCCGCAAACTTTTAAACTTAATTATCTCGCAAAATAAAACACAACGGTGGTGTTTGCAGTGTTGCCAACTAGATTTACTATATTCCCTCTTTGAAATTTTTCTAAATTGATAACTTCAATTTAAATATAATTTTAGAAGTAACCGATTTCCCCTTATAAATTAATGTTTTTCTGAGTTACCCCATAAATTTGCAATAAATACTCTCCGTACAATTAATTGTCATCAACATATAGTTTTTTTATTCTAAACTTATCATTTGTATTATTAACTCTGCTTTTTAGTCACAGATTGTGTATTGGCTTCACATACACTTTTTAAATATCAAGATTATGTTAAAAGTTAGGTTAAAAATAGTAAAAATATAAAATAGTGATACCGATATTGTCGGTTTTTGTGCGTATCGCTTGTCCAAAAAATTATATTTCAGGGTTGTTGACTAATAGTATAAAACGTGCTACGTTGATCGTCATTAATTTGGAGTTAAAAAAAATAATATTTCGTTTTTAAAACAGAATGGATTTCTTGAGTTTCCCTATTTCTCTGAAGCTGCACAAATTTTAATAGAATGAAGAAATTTTGTTAGGGTTGTCAACACTGACTATTTTTTACTCACAATCTTTACCTATTCGGCAGATAAAGCAGCGAAATATTCGATATTCAACAAACTACCGAATATGCTGTTGGTTACAAGCCTAATAAATATTAATAGAACAAAATTCTATATAAAGAACAAAAAACTTTGATATTTTGAAACATTTTTAAATGACAGCAATATCAACAGTTATCTTTCATGAGAACATCAAATTGACTATCATACAAATATTTAACTACCCTTTTCTTTAAATCAATAAAATGATTAAATATCTGCTATGAGTTGGTTTTCTCTAAATACATGTTTGCAAAGAATGATCACTATTTTCAATTCAAATATCTAGGAACAGTCTATCTAGTATTATTCTTTCTGTTTCTAAAGTAAATTGTTGGTTCTTCCTTATTAACATCATCTTCTAGATTATTTAGTTCCACAACTGTTATAGGCCAAATGGCAAAAATATTGCCTACATAACTTTATCAAATGGTTATATATTATACACTTTGTTTCTGAAAAAAAGAATTTTTTAAAGTAATTTCGATTTTAACTATTAATGGTAAGTTTTAATGTGGTGATTCGTTAACGTATCAGTAAACTGAAAATTAACAAAAATAAAATAGAAAATGATACAGTTTAATATACTTGAACTTAAAAGTATAGGATGTAGGAACGAATAACTATTTTGAAACTTTAGCGATGTTCATTTGTTTGTTCTAACTCAAAATTCTGGCATTTCATGAAATCTGTACAATTTTTGTATTATTTACTATTCCTCCAAAAACTAACAATTCTAGATGGGGTGCAAAATATAAGCAATTACAAGTAAACGAGATTTCATTTTCATACACAATAATGATTTAACCTTTTCATTAAATCTTATTCAACCAAATCTAACTGATAGCATTTCCCTGGTTTTTAGATGGAATTCTCGCAGCTGCGTGGAGCAAAAACACTACATTTGCCACACCAAACTGAAAACCGTAAGCAGCAAGGGCAAGAAGAAGTTGCGCCGCCAGTACAACGTCGACAAAGACAACAAGCTGAACGAAATTCCAGTTCCCTCCATCCCGGACTATTCAGCTAACGATACCGCACCCCTGAAAACCAATATACCCATCAGTTATAAGGTGGAAATCAACCAACGACTCAACGACCAAGCGTTGTTTGCTGAGTCAGCCCCATTCTTGGAGAGAACCGCGAAGAGGTCGAAGAGAAAGAGGAAAACGAAACTACGACAACTGGCACATTTCAAGCGAAACTCCAACGGTACGATTTCTGAACTACCCTCGTTTCTGGATAGGGGTAAAAGGAGGAAAGGCAAAGGAAAGACGGTAGATAGGGGTAAATCCACTGCCATCCAGCATATTAGGTGGAAAACTTATAAGGCGAAGCAATCTAATCCGCTTTATCCTAAGCCGATAGTTGAGGAGTACAACTACGTTAAAGAGCACTGAATGCAAAAAAGGTGTGGAAGCATAATTTATTAGTCAAGAAGGCACTAAATACACTAAGTCATTGTGTTCATCCTTTGACTATGGACAATTATTATTCTTTTTTTAACAGCAACGCTTTCCAGTGTACTCCTAATAGCTTTAAAGTCTTAATAAATATATTTAGTTTTATATATTTAATGTTAGTAATTTTTACAGAATGAACAGTTTTGTACAATATTCAAAATTATATTTTTAGAGCAAAACGTACATTGTCATTACCTATTACAAATTTGACTGACATACTTATAATATTTGCCTTGTTTTAATAAGAACTTGTTTAATGTGCTGACTGTATCTACATTTTTATATTTCTCAAATGTATTGCGATGGGCTGATGCATGCCACTCTTGTAGCGCTTTTGCCGCTAGTTGGGTAACCCCTCTTGAATCAGTCTGTTAAGTGGCGTCACCTGAGACGGTTGTAGTGAGCCCCAGAGACAGTTTTCTTATGACGACTGTTTTGACCTCTTCCGATTTTTTAATATCGGTGACATTCGAGAATACCATAACACCCCGATTCATCCCCGGCGATGATTTTGTAGAAAAAGTTCTCGTCCCCTCCAAATGGTCCAATAAGTCACAACAAGTCACGACAAGCCACGACAAGTCAACAAGCGGAGACAAATTTCGTCGCGAATAGTCCCATTTGCAGATCTTAGACTAAAATGCGCTACTTGGGCTCCACGAAAGACCAGATAATTCAGCAAGTGCACCAACAGTACACCTTCTATCCTTGTACACAAGCAAGCGAATTTTTTCATCAGTTCTGGAAGTGGAAGAGCGACCCGAGTGTTGAACGTCTTCGATCGACATGTCGCCGCATTTGAATAGCGAATACCATTCATACACTTGAGTTTTTTTCAAGGCATGCTCTTTATAAGCTGTAGAAAACATATTCACCCCGTCCGATGTACTTTTACCGAGCAGAAAATTTCAATGCCGCACGCTGTTCTCGAATATCAACTATTTTAGTAAATGGAAGAAGTCGGAATAGTCGCACGAAAACTGTCATAAGGGCTAGCTACAATCGTCTCAAGCGCTCAAGTGTGGCAGATAGGAGGTGTTACGAACACCCATCTAGCGGGAGCAGCCCAAACTACAAGAGCGGCGCACGCAGCGAATTTCGTCCAGTTATTTTTGGGTTTCCCCTCGTACATTAATTTATCTTTTTAAATCCATCTACTATAGAACATATTTTAGAATTAGTACAAAGAAATATTAATTAGAATGATTTAAGTATTGCTAAAGAAACAAAATTGATACGCTTATGTTGTTGTTCCATACCGTCTTTATCTCTACATATCCCATAGTTTATACACATAGTTTTTGTAAGGTTTTGTACATATTTATTTATTTTACATGTAGTTCACAACTTATTTTATTTGAAACTTTTACCATTGCAAACTGCACCCAGTGAGAATTTTTTAAATATAGTTATTGGCTAATATGTTATATTTCTATATAATCTCTATTTAATTTGTTTAATAAAAGAAATAATGTAAGTAACAGTGTTTTATTTCGAACTTATTTATAGATTTGCGTATATATTATAATATCTATGTATATACGAGGCACACTCACAAAGTAAGATTACTGAGACTCAAATGCTTTGTGGTTTCTGTTTTTGACAAAGTTGACAACACTGCATTCAAGGCCAAGGTGTTGGGATCAGTACGCGCCCTCATTTGTTTCAGTCAGTTGAGAACTGTTGTTGTAGTGGCGTGTTGAAATGAGTGCCGCTATTCCGAATCCCGCCAGGTGAATAATTCCTTGATCGTATTGCGACTGGCGACGAAAAGACAATCAATGCATTGGCGACATCTGTCTTCACCATCAGCGAAAAAATTCAAAACCGTTGTTTCGGTCCTAAAATTATGTCAGTTGTGTTTTGGGATTGTAAAGGGATTCTCCTCATTGACTTTTTTGCTGCAGGGGGAAACAATTGATGGTGCACGGTACTGTGAAAGTCTTAAAATGCTACGGAGGGTGATACAGAACAAAAGAAGGCGAATTTTAACGAAGGAAGTGTGCTTGTTGCATGACAATGTTCGTCCCCACACAGCCAACGCCTCACAGCCCTGACCTAGCACCTTCTGATTTTCATTTTTTCTCTTCTTTGAAGGTGTTTATAGGTGGAAAAAGGTTGAAGGCGACTATGTCGAAAGATAGATGCAACTTTCTGAATATAAAAATTTTTCATAAATATACTTACTGCCGTTTCGTATTTTAAAAAATTGTGAACTCTTACTTTGTGAATATACCTCGCAGTTTTTTATATTTAATTAAAGAACTTCTTTATAGGTTTATATTAAAAAAATAGCAAAGATATCTGTAATATTAAATATATTAAGTTACATATAAAATTTACATGGTTGTAATGTAATTTATCTTACGTCACTATTATTATAATTCAATGTTTATCAACGTTAATATTTTATTCTTTATGAATATTTCTTCAACTGTGCAGAAATTATTTAAAAAATTTATTATTATCCATAACTATAAAAAGATTACTTTTTGTGATTGTACATCCTACTGTTTCTGATTCCTTTCGTTTTTTCGCATACTGTCATTGGAAGATTGAGTATTCAATATAATAGTAGTAGTGGTTCTTATGCAAAATTAAGGTATAAATTTACAAATAATAAATAATTACAATAAATATATTTAACAGTCATTTCTAAAGAACACTAAGTGGTTAAACAAGCGTAACAAATTGGATAAAATTCATCAAAGAGATACACGTGCTGTGTGAGTATAAAAATTCATAAGAACGATCTAAGCAAAACTATCTGAACTAACAATAAATACAAAAATATTACAAAATACTTTATTGGTCCTAAGCAGAAGAGGAGGAACGCTGTGATTAATTTTGTACCAATATCCTAATTTGCTGAGATTTTAACAATCAACCACTGCCGAACTATTCAGCGTTAGAGTAGCTTCTTTCTCCAGCAATTTTACCTTCCATATTAAATAACAACAGTCACAACATCACTTTGGTTTTATCCTTATTGGGTAACTATAGTTATCGTCGCTTGGGGAGATTTTAGATTAGTTACAAGCTTTTTCACAGCCTTGGCCTTGACTTGGCAGACGTAATGTTTTTTCTTCGTTTCTTTGTCTGCGTTCCAACTAAAATAAAGTAAGTGAAACGTAATCTTAACTATTTACAACTTGGTTTCTTTTTAATGACTGCGTTTTAAACATCTCTGGACATAATGTATCTTATCCTATACCGGGTGTTTCTGATATAAATGCGTTTCTTGAAAATGGTGAAGAGGGCACGAAAATAATCAACTTTTATTAAGCAACTGATGGTTTAATATTTAAGGTCGTCTCTGGCGCGGTAGCCAACTGTACCTTTGATATCGAAACTGCCGCGCGCTGCAGTGCGACACCCACTTCTCGGTCAATGTCGCGAGTACTGCGCCTCGGATCTTCCTCAGCGAGCTTTATGATGGTTTCTTCGTTGTCGAAAACACATTGCGCTTTCATATATCGGGTGGACATTCCCGGTATCTCGTAACCTTTGAACTGCCTTTTGCATTGTTCTACTGGTAAATTGTCGGCTGTTACGGTAACGGATCGCATACAAACGACAAGTCTCATTTAAAATGTACTGACATTTCCCGTACATTAACACCATTTCTGCTAGTTCTTGAGCAGAAAACATTTTATACGCCAGCTAAGTAATACTGCAACACACAACGCACGTGCGCAAGGTGCACAGGGTCGGCTTACATTTATGGTAAATTTTCTAGAAACCAGAAACATTTAGACCATCGAGTTGCTTAATAAAAGTTGCTCATTTTCGTGCCCCCTATTACTCTTTATAAGGAACGCACTTATTTCAGAAACACCCTGTATATTTCCTTGTTACTACACAAGAAATACGTGATACAATTATTGTCAATTTATTTGAGTCTAGTTAATTAATTGTCACTTTACAGAGATCTATCAAAGAATCTAAGAACTGATCTGTGTTCAGTAACTGCTTACCTGTTCCCTAAAGAAGGATCCATATAAATTGCGTTCCAAGCTAAACTGTCGTTGCTACGAATTTTGAATACATCTTTGCCAAATCCTTTGTATTTAAGAGGTTTTCCTGTCATTGCCCATCTCCATTGGTTGGACTTCCAATCGTACACTCCTCCAATCCATCTGTCGTGTTTTTCTAAATATCGAAATAACAATTAATTTGAATAGAATTACAGCTATTTGAATAATCCTATGATCATCATATTTATCTGCGAAATTTAGTTATCTCTGACACTCTTACCTATGAAACCATTCAACAATATTCTCAAACTATAATCCTGGTCTCTGTTTCTAATTATGGCCAGTTTACTTTTGTTTTTCTTGCAATCGAAATAAGCATCCAAGAAAACTGCTGTTTTTTTGCTAAAGCTGTAACACTTGTTGCCTAAACCAATCATGTGAGGAGGACATACGAAGCCATCAGGGTCTAGTGTTGTGGCCTTAGTTGGTTTTGGTTTTTTAACTAGAACGAATAAAGTATTAAATCACTGAATCACAGATATTGTCAATGAGAGTTGATATAAAAACAATCCTTTGTATTTAAACTTGACAATTGATGATCATTTAGAGAAAAATGCTGATTTAACTTGGCTACAACATCTTGTTACAATGTAAAAAAAATCTTGGGAATGTTTAACATAAGCGTTTTTAAATGTTTATTATCGATTCGTAACCCACATTTCAAATATATATCACTGATATATAAGAAAAAATAAAGACGTTTCAAAACTTCTCTCGATTCTTTACAAAAACAAACTTTAATGTCTTATAAAATTCCGTGCACCATTGCAAAAATTAATTTCTTTCTCATGATGGCAGTATTTATTTTATCAGTCACTATTTTTAAGGAACAGTGTTTATATAGAACGTCTTAGAAAGTTTACAGTTTCACAAATTTTTCTAGGTGGCACAATTTAAATTTACGACTTTTTATGATATTGTAACAAGTAAATACATTATATAGTCTGTAAAATTAAACAATCAATGTCCATCATGCATTTGAAATCTTTCAGGAATGTTCTCTTATCAGAGATTAGGTTTTAAAATATTTTTTGACAAAATAGGTTGTGTAAAGTGTTTGAAGCTGGAGATTAAATAATGCCGAATCATTATAGGGAACAATTAAGATTTGTAATTACATCTTCATTGGGTGTGCCTCAAAGATCAAGCCTTGTGCCACTAATCTTTTTGCTGGTAAATGCAGCATTTGTATTTATGCAAAGTATAATTACATTTAAATATTATTTATTATATGTGCCTTTTTTGCGGCCAAAGTTTATGTTTTATTTAGTTATTAATTAAATGTCACACAACCTCTGTTAGACCAGGGTCGATAATTTTTGAAACCAAAAAAATTATAGTAGGATGAAACCCATTGGAAAAGAAAGAGAATATAACAGAAATGAAAGGAAAAATAATTTACGGGCGATCTGAGGTCGGGAAGGGGGTGAGTTTTTAAGGGTAAAAAACGGNTTATAATTGCATACTTTTGTACGCTGTACATGGTGTTGCAACTCTAATAACTTTAATAAATGGTTACATGACTGCAAATTGTTTTATCTAGATTTTGAAATCAATCTGAAACTGTTAGGTGTCCTAAAATTAACGCAAGATTTGAATTTTCCGCCATTTGTGTGGTAAATACAGCGTGATAGCTGACAGTTTAGGGTTATTAAAAATGAAGCACTACACGAAATAATAATGCATTTTTCATTGTTGAGCAGTATTTAAAAAATCAGTACTCAATTTTCGTACAAAATGTGGTCGGAATAGTGATTTATTTTCATCAATGTGAAGAGATTAAATGAAAAATTGAGAGAGTGGATCAATTCAATCTTAAACACTCTGGCTGTCATTCAAAAAGTCGTGAGAGTGTAGCTGAGAGTCCAAGAACGTCAAATCGGCACCGTTGTAAAGAATTGGACATTTCGAGAAGCTCTATACAGCATATTCTCACGAAAGATTTGCATCTTCATGCTTACAAAGCTTGATTGACTCAAGGATTGAAGCCTACTGATCACGCAGAGCGGAGAGAGTTCGTTGAATGGATTATGAAACAATAACAAGTGGATGCTGATTTTTAGAAGAAAATCTTCAGCGATAAAACTCATTTTCATCTTGATGGCTTCGTTAGTCTACAAAATTGTCGAATTTGAGTTTCAGAAAATCCACGAGTTAGGAAATAAATACATCCACTTGTGTGGAACTGTTTGGTGAGGACTTTGGACTGAGGGCTTCATCGGACCATACTGCTTCGAAATGTTGCTTACTATCGCGACATGATAATCCAGTTTTTTGTACCTAAATTGCAAGATATGGATGTAGGCGACAAGTGGTTTCAGCAAGACGGTGCCGCATGCCAGTCATTTCCTGGTCGTGTAATTTCCCGTTTTGGTGATCAGAATCGGTCATGTGATTTAACGTCGTTGGACTTTTTTGTTGGAATTTTTGGAAATCTAAGGTTTATGCCAACAAGTCCACGACCACCACGCCTTGGACCTAGAAAATTTCGACAAAAGAGTGCGTATGTGCCAGCATAGTTGTGGAGGTCATTTACCCGATATGCTATTCCATACATAACCCTATATAGTATACTTTATAATTCAATAAAAAAATTAATATTTAAAAACCTGTGTTTTCTATCAAAATTACTTGGTTTTGGTTTCTTTAATTTGCATACTAGTTTAGTACTATTTAAATTTTCAAACTTGTTTCTTCCAACAATGTGTTGGTAATATGCCTGTACCTATTGATCAATAATTTTCAGTACCTCAAATTATACAGGGTGGCCCAATTAAAACAGTCCACCTGGAATATTTTCAATGCAACAAGTTTTCCCGGAAAACCCAGGAAGAGGTCGATTTTGCTTTCAAGGGGGACATCTTTTGATCATAAATTCATGGATGTAGGGTCATTCCCTAAAAGGGGTGGCAACCCCTTCAAGAATCGTGAATGGCACATCATTTTAGAGGTATTTCAATTATCTTTAAAACATTCTGAAATTTTTTGTTCTGCATTAAAATTAATGTAAAAAACCTGTTGTGTCGGTGAAATAAATCGAAAATAAGACTATTAGAATTTTACATGTAGTTTTGTTCCGATTTTACATCAATCAGAATTGCCTAAGTAGTGAAATTCATCGATTTGTTATTATTCACTATTTTGTAGCAAATGATTCAAATTACCATGGTTTACACCACTGCAGAGAGAATTGAATTTATCAGTCTCTATTTTCAAAATAATGAAATATCCATTCCTAAATTTAATATCTAAATTTATGGAGACTGGATCCGTTTCTAACAGAAATCATGAATGGCAACACACTGTTACTGATGAAGCTGCACAGGTTGCAATTTTGGGACATGGATCCCACTTCAAGCATCAGAAAATTAGAGGCAACTTCAGGAATTGCACGTAGTAGTCTTCAGAGGATCTTGAAAAAGCATCAATTCCAAACCCTTTAAGATTCATCTCGTGCAAGAGCTCAATGAAGATGATCTAGATCGCCGTATACAATTTTGTGAACAGATGAGTTAAAAAATGTTGAACAATCCCAATTTTCTATATTGTACATGCTTCTCTGATGAATGCACATCCTTTCTTAAAGGTTATTTCAACAGAGTTAATTGCAGATACTGGATTGATTCAAATCTTGAAGTTATGAGAGAACAGCATTCACAGTATCCAGAGAAGTTGGGCTGGGATTTTGGGAAATAATATTGTTGCTCCATTCTTTCTACCTGATAACTTGACGGGTGAATCTTATCTCAATTTGCTTCAAGACTTCATCTACCCTCGCATTGTAGAGATTCTTCAGAGAATGATGTATTTTTTCAACAGGATGGCGCTCCGTCATTCTACATAGCTGCTGTACGTGACTTTTTGAATCAACATTTTCCCGAACACTGGATTGGTGGAAGGGGTTTCACTGAATGACCCTCAAGATTGCCTGATTTAACACCATTGAACTGTTTATTAAGGGGTCATCTAAAAAGTGTTATTTATAAAACGACACCTACTTAGAAGATCTTCGCCACCAATAACATCCCAAATGCTACAAAATGTTCGGGGAAATGTTGAATAAAGGTTTTATTACTGTATGGAAGTAAATGGGTCGCAATTTGACCACTTAATTAATTAAAACTTGTATGTTTCCTTTCGATTTATTTCACCGACATTTCCAGCAGGTATGTTACATTAATTTTAAGGCATGTTTGTAAAGTGAATTGAAATACTGTTAAAATATCTCACTTAACCCCTCGTGCCATTTAAGATTCTTGAAGGGGTTGACATCCCGCTTAGGGGGAAGAATGAATTTCTGATAAACAGATGTCCCCTTTGAAAGCAAAATCGTCCTGTTTCGGGGTTTTCCGGAAAAACCTGTTGCTCTGAAAGTATCTCAGGCGAACTGTTTTAATTGGGTCACCCAGTATGTTATTATTTATATGCACCTGTAGTATTCCAGCCATTTAGGTAATTAATTCGGGTGAAACAGCTACTTTTCAAGGACGATTATGATATTCAAATGTTTAAAGTTAGTAAAGTCCACCTTTAATTAGTATCTAACAGCGCTGATAATGAATTTTTATTTGTGTATTTTTTGTTTAGTAAGGCTCCATGAAATAGTTCAAGGCACTAGCGTTCTTCAATGATGTTTACTGTCGTTGGAGGTTAAATATATTATAAATTTTTCAGGCTATCTTGCCTTTTACTTATTGCTTATTGCTATTAACCAGCACAGTGCACTTAGTGATTGACAATTGATTTTAATTAATTAGAGAAAACACTGAAAGTGTTTACCAATATGTAAGTTTTTTAATTAACTGTTGTTTTTCTCTATAGGTTTAGATACCGATTACACTAATAAATAAAACAATTAATTATAAAAAAAATAGATCATGGCTTGACAGAACTAGAACTTCATTAATTATTATTCCTCTCTTCACGTGTTATTCACACCAAGATGCAGATATGAAGCATGCACAGCATTATAAGAAATCTCCAGGTGTTGAATTACACACGTGTCTATGATATACTTGAATAAATATGCAGATAATGTTGTAAACACAGCGAAGACAATTATTGACGTTAAGATCATAAATTTTAATGATTGATTCAAGGGAAACTGCAAATATTATTTCAAAAGGTTTTTGAAATGAGATTTTCAGATGGAATAATTCATTTATTATCGTGAAGTCGATATGCGTTCAAGAACTAGAAAATTTTGAAGTGCAATTGTGTAATTACGTAACTGTTGTACTGTTCATTTGAATGTTGTTGTTCATCGGAAATTTTCCGTCTTTAATATAACAGAAGTCTATCTTGATCACTACATATATTTTTTCATTTAATTGGTTATTTCTGCCATACTGAAGAGAAAAAAATTAATAAATAACCCTCAAAGGGTTCATTATATAAATAGTTTTGCCAAACTGGAAATAGTTCACACTAAGAAAACATATAATTCTTCACATACAACAATTAAAACACATTACTAAAATGTACAGTTGTATAACAGGAAAACAAAAAAAGGTTCGTTCCAAAGACTAGACCTATGCATCCCTATGTATTTTCGCGAAAAACCTCCCTTAAATACAGAAAATCCGGAAAATCTCTCTTTGGGAGGAAACAGCATTAAGGTATAATTGTAGAAACCAACTGAAAATGACTACGAGACCATATTCATAAGTATTTTGATACAATGAATCTGAATCCGAATTCAGAACTATTCCATCACGCCCCAGTTATTTCAAAACTCCGGAAAACCACCCTTAAATACGAAAAATCCTTCTACGATGGAAGTTATTGCTGGACAATATTTGCATGTATTTGACGTGGTAAAGCCAAATCCGAAGTCAGAATCACCCTCCAGTATTTTTACGGCATACAAAATAACCCTAAAATCTGCGAAATTCATTACATTAATTCATTATTACAGATAGAACTTCAGCAATTTGATGTTCTCAGAGAGATCAGGGTATTCGAAGATATAAAATCGTTTCCAGATAAGCAATAATTGTTCTCCTTTTTTCCTTTTGTAACGAACTCTTTCACCTTCAAACGGATGCAACGGATTTCTTTTTCTTTTCTGTTTTTCGCTCGTTTTCCCTTTTAAGCATCCAACAGAAATCTGTCATCATATTAACATCACACGTTTCTTGGTATCGACGTTCTATTACCTTGATACCTTGGTGAAGCCTTTCACTGTGATCTTTGCTATAGTTTCCGAGGTTTTCTCGGAAAAAGTTAGACTCCTCTAGTTTTGAAAAATTGAATTTTCCATATTTTCTATATTTAAGGTGGATTTTCACGAACTAAAAAAAAGGAGGGCGATGGAGCCGGATTCGGATTCAGCACATTAAAATACACAAAGATACATAAATCCAGTCTTTGGAACATGCTTCTTTTCTTTTTATGTGTTGTGTATTTATTAATTTTATATGAAAGGAACGTTCCTGATGAAACAATCCTAAGTATGTGTGTAGCTGTTTCTTTTATATGATTAATCTTTATCAAAGGTGATAATAGAACAGCAGGAATACAAGATACTTCTTTCAATTACATTATTTAACAATAAATCGAGTATGTGTTTCTGTGTTAATTGCATTTAGACATACCATTATTAGTTTTTATTGTGGATAATTATAAGTTTTAGCTTTTTAATAGGTACTGCTAATATCCCTAATGCAATGCTAGTTAGGGCATGTAGCATGTTGTTTCCCGCAATATCAGCTTCACATAATAAAAGTGTAGATCCCTAGATCTGGGCGAGAGACATTTTCAAAATTGCAAAAATGTTTAAAAATTTTTCAAAAATACCTATTTTATCTGAGTTTTTTACTTATATCTTAGAACCTATGGATTTTGGAGGAATATTGCAGAGGAAAAGAGTTTTTGAATTGAATTTTACACGTTATACTGTAAGTTAAAAATGTTTAAATTTATTACCGATGTTGCAATGGATGGAAAAAAGGCAAAATAATCAAGTTTTTTGGATAAATTTTTTAAAATATTTAAATTGCTCCGAGGGCATTCTAATTTTGTCAAAAAAAACTTTAGAGTATTATAAAACAACATACCAAATTTCTTTAAAATCGGTTCTATAGTTTTCGCAAAATATATTTTTTTAATTTTGAAAAAATTTTTTCGAATTTTCAAAATGTTGCACAGCCTGATATAAAGCATCTAGATACTTGGAAAAATTTTTCACATAGAAAAGACCGCTCAACCTTTCACACGGTTTTTGAAACATTGAAATCGGTTGATTAGGACGGCCCGTTAATTTTTTAAATTTACCCCCTTTTTTTTTTTTTTTGACCATTTGGTTTCCTTTCTTCTTTTTGCATTTTGTTTTTTTCAAAATTTTTATTTTATGTTCTTGGGAAAACGGTTTTTTTAAAAATTATTTTTTTTTTAACCATTTTGGCATTAATTTTTTGTTCCGTTGGTTTGTTTTTTCGGGTTTGTGTGCTGTGGAAAATTTTGTTATCTCTATGTTTTCTGGGCCATATATATATCTGTTGTGAGGCTGTGTCTCTCGTGTGCGCGAAGTGACTCAAAACACGAAAAGTGGGTGAGGGGGCTTTCGCTCCGAGACTAAATTTGGAGGTTCAAAATGCGAAGGTACGAAAAAAATTGCATTATCTCGGCTTCTAATGGACCAATTTCGATCTTTTTTTTAATCCGATGTCTCGCGAGCCAAGGAATTCGAATATCGTGATGTCAACTGTCTAATTTGCACATATTTTGTTACAAAGTTTATTACTTATGCATTAAATATACTGTATATTTTACCCTATGCTATTGCATTTTTTCAATGAAAAAATTTGTTAACGATTATATTTCAACACTCTGAATATGAGTGTATTTAGCTATAATTATTACAATTATTTAAATAATTTTTGTTTAAACAAATTAAAAAAATTTTTTTGTTTATTTGGAAATTAATTTTTTTGTTAAATACAGATAAAATTAAGAAAAGATAGTACTCTAAAATTATAATTTTTGAAAAAAACTAAATTGCAACCGATTTCAATTTTTCAAAAACCATTTGAAAGGTAGAGCGGTTTTTCCATGCCAAAAAAATTTCAAGTATCTAGATGCTTTATTTGAGGCTGTACAATATTTTGAAAGTTCGAAAATTATTTTCAAAATTTTTTCCAAATAATTATTTTGCGCAAAGTCAAACCGATTTTAATGAAATTTGGTTTGTTGTGTTATTATACTCTAAAGCTTTTTATACCAATGTTAGAATGCCATCGGAGCAACTAAAACATTTTAAAAAAAATATTCAAAAAACTTGATTATTTTGCCTTCTTTCATCTATTTTGCAACATCGGTAACAAATTTAAACATTTTTAACTTACAGTATATTTTGTAAAAATCTATTCTAAAACTTTTTTCCTCTTCAATCTTCTTCAAAAATGCATAGGTTCCCTAGATATAAGTAAAAAACTTAGATAAAATAGGTATTTAAAAAAATTTTTTTTTAAACATATTTGCAATTTTGAAAATGTTCCGGACTTCGCCCAGATCTAGGGATCTACACTTTTATTATGTGAGTTGTACTGAAGGTAATCCAGAAAAAAATTGCTTGCCCCTCTCACATCCACCTCAAAACAGATCCGCCCTGGTCTATATTGTTACGTTTCTTTTCAGTGTGACAGAACTGCCCAATTAAATAAAAAACAACTGAAAATGCTACTAATAAATACTTACAGACAATATCATTGCGTACATTTTTTGTTCGTATGTTTATGTAATTTGTTGTGAGTAATTTGAATGGGTAAAACATTTTCGTACATTTTATTTTTTTAGTTTATATTGTTACTATATTCGACTAGCAGATGCATTTATAAAATATCTACTTACCAATATATCCAGGTTCGTTGTTATACGCTGGATCTAACAATTTCAAACACTTCCTCCTTTCGTACTTGGGTAGCCACTGTAGATTCGAGCATTTGGCTATGTTAAACTTCTTTTTTGGTTTCTTACTAAATAATTTGAACTCGATGAACGTGTTAGTCTCTGTTTGGCAAACATAACGTCTCTTATCTGTACATTTTCTAGCGCTCCATCTATAAAATTGGAAGTGGTTATAAGTCTGGGGTTTGCCATCATTTAATATTATAGGTATGTATATGGATATTTCAAAAAGTAACAGCATCGAATTTCACAATGGGAAAATATCCTGTTTAGTAAGGTCTCGTATAATGGTAATTCCTATCTTTCTACAGTCAAAAATAAGTTAAAATGTAAGTTTAGTAAGGTCTTGATTGTATTCTTCTATAATATCTCTTTAGAGAATTACGAGGAAAAGTGGAAAAAATTTATAATTTTCGATGAATATATTTCTAGAGCGCGATTCGAAGAACAAGAATAATGTTGACTTTTTTCTAAAGACGTTTCTTGCCTTCATGAACATATACGCCCTTACTATGCTGTACATCTCGTAGTCTATTTCAGATTTTTCAAGTTCTTCGGGCAGCTCTGATCTTGGTTTTGTGATTATTTTATCTTTGGACCTTCAAAAGGCACAACAAATGACAAATCATTTATATTTCCTGCTGTTACTTTTTGCAATACACTTGTTAATTTTGAAAAGCTTCCTAAATTAAATTTAAGGAATGCTGATTAATGCCTGAACTGTAAGTAGACGAAGATACATAAAATACGTGGAATTTATATCCAGTTAACAATAATTTGAATAAGTATTCTAAACTGTTCATACCCGTTATATAATCTACTTTAAATTTAAAATCAAAATCTCCCACTAATAATTGACAATAAAAATTCTTGTTACCCGTCGCCGTCGTTGCCAAACTGAATACGTAATTAGATACGAATTATACGCAACGAAACGAAGGAGTATTTGCTATTAAAATGATAATATTACACTTGCAACATGTAATTGTTAATTGCATAGCTAATTATTTAATAATGAGTTGCAAGAACAATGTGTTTCAGAGAAAACTTGATTTCTTCTGTAACCTTCTACGAAATAAGTTTTCAAAAAAATCGTATTGAGTTTATATTGATTTAAAGTGATTCATCCTTCGCTTTAAAATAATTTAATAGGAAAGGGGGAAGTGATAACTTATTTGAAATTTCTATTAATTCCATATGTAGCTACATTTCCCTTAAAAAAACCTGTAGATTAACAACATCAGGTTTGATACCCCTCTCAAAACCGACTTGTTTTGTATTGGAAAAGTATTTTAGATAATATTTGTACTGTACTTATTCTGTTTTGATGGGTTGAGTACTATACAGTGCCAGTGAAATTTGTCTCCTATTTGGAGCCTTGCAAACTTGTTATACGTAATAGGTTGCCCAGAAGAGCCCCATTTCCATCTCAGTTGCTTGTAATCATATATTCCGTCTATCCAACGTTCATATTTGCCTAAATCTGGAAAAAATGGAAAAATATGTTGCAGTAGTAAAAGTACTTCATGAAATTTTGCTGATTTTTTACCTGTGATGGTTTTATTTAAATAAACCCTTAACAAATGCAGTTCTCGATACGAATCCACCACAGTTAAGGAACTATTTAGCGTTATGCAGTAGAAATGGGAATCATGCCATGAAACTTCGTTCGTACTAAAGTGGTAACATTTCCTTCCGACTAAATGGAAACCTTCAGGACAAACATACCTTGTCTTGATTGTTTCTAAGTCTTCTGTATCTCCTTTAGCAACTGGAAGAGATTGAAAGAGATTACAATTGGAAACAATAAAGAATTTGGATCTGATATTCTATCTAAAACTAGGATCAGTTTAAAAAATACATGTTCCAGTCATTTTGTAGCAGTTTTAAAAACCAAAACAGATATAATTTCGTTAACAAGTTGTCTCTATGTGTTAAATAATTATTTAGTTTCTCAGTGTGAAATATTTGTGTTTTAATTATAAAATCAACGCTATGACTGACCCCTTCATCACAAGGAATCAATAGGACATACCTATTTTTCTTTTCAAATATATAATAATATTTTGGTGCTGTACATAAAGCACACATTTAACCACATCTCAAACTTCAGAAATAATACGATGACAAATTTAATACAAATATCAATTCTGATTTATATGCTAAATATATGGATTACACACGTATTGCATTTAATATTCAAGTTAAAGTTTACATCATCTTCAGTATGTAGATAGCAACAAATTTCTGAAATAGATATAAATTTATTTTGCCCACACACACAGTTTATTTCACGTTATAAATATGCTTCAAATACTTAATGATGTATACTAGTAACTATAGCAACAATAATGTTGGTTTGTATTTGAAGAGGCAATAAAATTAACGACAGGACAAGATTTTACTAAAGAGAAAATTCTACAAAACCTAAAATGATTAAATTTCAATACTATAATGAGGCAAAATTTCCATATGGATATCGAGAAACTCGAACACCACAGAATTCGTATTTAAAAAGGCTATCCAACGATGTGTTACTCTTTACTTTCATTCTCCAAAAGCTTTCAATTTAATTAGATGAATATTATTGTAAACCATAGGCATATATGTTTTCAGTCACGAAATTTGAATAATATTTCGAATTTTCACTACCAAGAACAGCGATGACAACATTTTTATTAGTAAAGCAATGTTTCGCATTGTATTAACTATGTCCTGTCCAAATTTGATTAGTACATCTCTCTCGGTCTCGCAAATTCAATAACTATGTATGTTTTCAGTCACGAATATTGAATAAATCCAAATATTTTGAATTTTCACCACCAAGAACGGCGGTGACAACATATTTAATAGAAAGGCAATGTTTCGCATTGTATTAGCTATGTCCTGTCCAAATTTGGTTAGTGCATCTCTCTCGGTTTCGAGCATTCAATACCTATGTATGTTTCCAACCACGAAAATTACATAATTCCAAATATGTCAAATTTTCACCACCAGTGACGGCGGTGGCAACATTTTTTACAGTAAGGTAATGTTTTGCATTGTGTTAGCTATGTCCTGTCTAAATTTGGTTAGTGCATCTCTCTCTAGTTTCTAAGTAGACTATAATATATTTTATATTACTAGATCCAATTTAAATTTTATAAAAAACATTGATTTTATATTAAATCTACATTATGATCATCTAGCAACGAAGGAATTTTTGATATTTCTTTTCAAAATTTTAACAATTTTAATTCTCTATAGGTTATACTGGAAATTGGCTTGGGCTGGCAAGTCGCCGTTACGAATTAAGAAGAATAACCATAGAGATTGTGATAAGAATGATATGCTAATAATAAAACATTTCTAATACAAACATAAATACACACAGAATGTTTATCGACAAAAATTTAGAATTATATAGAAAATATTTAGCTCTACGTTCAAAAAACATCACACATCGCGGATTATTTATATTATTTAAAAACAATAAATGTACCTACTACTCAGTGAGTTCAATATAAATGTTCACTGCAAAATAGTTAGATATCTAAAATTACCCTACCCAACAGAATTTACCGACCACTGATATCCTAACCACATTACTGATAGAGATAGAAATTTTACAAGTTTAAAGTTTCACGGAATGAAAAATTTGTAGAGTGGCAGTGACAAACAAATTTCTTAATTAACAAAACCACCCTGAAACTTTCAAGAATGGACCCAATATTATTGATAAAACATACGATGATTTATGTATCAACACTTAATAATTATAATTTGCATAACTCCACATTCAACATAAATATTAATAACAAGTTCAATTTTGTAGTTCCATTATTGTTAAATTATTGGGGGCAGCATATAAAATATTGTACACGTCATACTTAAAGTATGTGTAAAGTATTACTTTCTTATCCTGGGACGTAAAAAATTATTAATTGTCGGATTTCATAAATTTATATGTCTACAAAAGTTATATGACACCTTGAACATCTGCCTGACCTAAATATTTATTGTATCTATCTATAGTGGACACATTTTTGCCACAAATTCTATTTACTTTATTGATCCATTGTTAAAGCTTCGTTGAACATATTACACATAAAATGTGTTTAACACATCGGTTGCAAATGTAAACAGTATTTTACAATAAAGTAACTTTATAGGTATTTGAGTACCGCTTGAGACTAAACTTATACTTTATGGCCATAAGAACAAACAACTAATGCATATCCATGTATTATTTACAACCTTTCACGTCATGGATGACCATCAATTATAGTAGTTACAAAATTACAAAGGAAATTACAATTTCTAATATAGGAACGTAGAGTCTCGTTGCAAGGTATTTTTGATTACTATTCTAAAATTTTTAATAGTAAAGCAATGTTTCGCATTGTATTAGATATGTCCGGTCTTTTGGTTAGTGCAACTCCCTCGGTTGCGAAAATTCAGTACATAAATGTATAGGTTTTCAGCCACGATAATTGAATAATTCTAAATATTTCGAATTTTCACCACCAAGAACGGCGGTGACAACATTTTTAAGAGCAAAACGATGTTTCGCAGTGTATTAGCTATGTACTGTCCAAATTTGATTAGTACAGCTCTCTAGGTTGCAAAAATTGAATAGGTATGAATGTTTTCAGCCACGAAAATTGAATAATTTCAAATATTTCAAATTTTCACCATCAAGAACGGCGGTGACAACATTTTTAAGTGCAAGGCGATGTTACGCATTGTATTAGCTATGTACTGTCCAAATTTGGTTAGTGCAACTCTCTCAGTTTCGAAAATTCAATACCTATGTATGTTTTCAGCCACGAAAATTAAATAATTCTAAATATTTCAAATTTTCACCACCAGTAAAGGCAGTGACAACATTATTGACATTAAGGAGACGAATATGTAGACGTTTTATTGAAATTTTTAAATAAAATTTGTACAAAAAAGGAACTTTGGTTTTCATAACTTCACTATGTAGGTCCTTTGTCTTCAAAATTTAAGATAAAAAAATTAAAACCGATACGATCGTGTCAATTTTCTGCAGTATCACATTTAACAAGCGTATTGTGTAGAAAGATGATATAACCGAGTAGTAATTAGCAAAACTTGGTTCTATGAAAGACCAAGTGACTCAGAAGTTATTCAAGTTATTTATTCTGAAGCCAAAGAAAACTGGCTATGCTCCATGTACCTGCTGCACCTGATATTGACAAACAAACTTTATTTTTGCGTAATTTGAAACAAATGCTTTATGTACAGATGAGAAAGGAAAATATATAAGAGATCTGAACTTGAATCACTGTCATATTTAAAACATTGTATATATTATTATAAAAGATGTAGGGCTCGGTAGTTATGGTAGTTTAACTAAAGTCAATATAGCGGTATATTAATGGTGTCACACTTAAATTTAGAATTAAATAGTGGCCTTAAGTATTCCTGATTAACATGTCTATGTCTAATTCTATCATTAAAGTTGGTTGGTAAAGTTGGTCAAGACTCAGAAATGAAAATAACTATTATTGCTGTTATTAAATAGGCTGTTATCCTGTAAAATTTAGTAAAATATCCAATTTTATGGCTTTGAAGAAGGAATATTTGTAGGTCAGGAAGAATTACAGAATGACAATTTGTATTACAGTAAACTATAAACAGCTTTTCTATTTTTGTTGCGCCTATATTTTCTTAGAATATTTAGAACAGAGTTTGTCCTTTATATTTCTGTGTTTATTATAGTTTAATTCTGTCACAAGTGAATTTAAAAACTGGGGTGTACAGAGAGCTATATTTTCGTAATTGTTATTTCACTGCTGACAGTATTTGATGGAACAGAAAGTTATTATTAATAATTTAGTTGAAGCATACCCTCATGGTTAACTGCCTACTTTTCAGAGTCCATGAGCAGGGAAGTAGAACCAACAAGCATGTTATGCCTCGTAAAGTACCAGAAAATTGATATTTAGAGGCAGAGCAAAGACGAAATTATATTTGCATTTTAAATTAAAATTACATGGTAGATGTAGTCACGACATGTGTGCTGGAAACGTTTGGTTTGCTGAATAACTTAAATGTTACTCCACCTCATGCAAGATCTATTTAGTATTTAGTGTAAAGAAATGTACTAGTATCTCAAATTAGACATTTGAGATACTAGTTATTATATCGTTATTATTTATAGACTGCTAAAGAGGTCGACATGAGTAAATCTATATATATACAACAGAGATTTCCGCTGTCTGTCTATTCTGCCTGTCTGTATAGAAATCACTTTGTCAACATGCCGATATTTTAATATTTGCTTAACATAGAATTATGGTCCTATTGCAAAGATCGTATTAATCTATAATCATTTATAAATTATGATCTATTGACACAAACAACTGAAAGTTTAGCTTGTAGCTACTGACCTACAATTTAGTTGAAGATCATAATCTAGATTGTTGAATTTAGAGAATATATAAATAAATAAATTATTAAGATCTGACATAATTAATAAAAATATCATCATGTGGAATTGTGAATTAATAACATAGAAAATCTTAGTGTTGAAATCATCAGGGTATGATACCTAGACATGAACAATTAGTAAAGGTTAATAATAGATCATACTATTTATCTGCAATCATCAGTACATAACACATAAACATAAATAATTATTAAAAAGATCCATGTATATTTAGAACTGTTGATGAATAACGATATAGACATAAACAACACAGAATGAATGGATGATCTTTAAGACGTGACATAGACATAAGCAATTAGTACAAGATCACATAT